TTGTTCTAATTGGTAGCTACAGTAAAGTATGTTGCTTGAGTCAATTTTATTTTACTTTGCTGCTTTACAATTACAATGATCTTCTACCACTCTTTGCACCTTCAATATAATTCGGTCATACTGATAGTCAACGTTGATTGCATCCATCTGCAAACAACATAGAACCATCAATTAACCATATTTCATACGGACAACAGTAAAAATTCGTACAACGGACAGCAACAGATTTTTGCTAGCAACAATTTTATCAAATGGTCATTTTGACATCAATTGTTCTCAATGTTTTACTCCTCTTCCAGGAAATGAAATCGAACCCGCATAATCTCCTACAGAGTACTGACTATTGTTTCCCTTCCTCTAGTCTCCGTACGACAGATTCCACACACCTGACCAAGTGGCTGATACCACTCTAAATCTTGATTTGAAGTAAGCTTTGTTGTCTGGGTTTACTGAAAGGTAATTTGCTATTAGAGAACAAAATTTACAAATATAGAACAATAATAAATAAAAAGCGCAAAAGAATATTCAAAAAAAAAAAAAAACTTACAAACTGAAGTTTTAAGTGTTGAAATCTTCATTAAATTTGCAACGAAACGAAACAAACAAAAAATCTGTGAAATATGAAATCAACGACAACTATAAGTATACTTGACTGGGTGAAGTTGAATCCATAACGATGGAGTGTGCCTAGAAAGAAGTAAAAGTAATGCAATTGAAACGAATCGCAGCTACAAAACTTGTAGTAATCAACTTGTAGAGTTGGTAGTACGATTCACATAATCGAGATGTAATTATATCATGATTACAAATCTAGGGATTAGAGGATCAAGACACTAATGGTCATCGAACTAACCTCTAAAACTCTGTCAGCCATTGGTCTTGAACAACCTGATATCAAAATGAACCCCTACCATATGTCCGAGTGTTTGCCTAATGAAGCAAAACATAATTGGGTTATTCTACAAAAGTGCTAATGTATTTACCATGTTGTAAGAAATATAAGTTTAATCTAGGTAGAAGAGATTGATGATACACTTTTCCAAGTACAAACACACTCTTGTCCAGGTTTTTCGTTGAGGAGTTTTGTCGAGTAGCTGGTGTTCAAAACTTAAAAAAGCACAAAGAACATAATCAATAAGTTTAGAAAACAGTAAAAATTGTAAAATTCAGAAACAACCTGGAATCAAACTGCTCTTACACTCTTCCTGTCTCCCTCACCTTCTGTCTCTCCCCCTGAACCAAATTAGTTGATGGCAGTTGGGTTCGATCACCATCAGTTTCCAAGTACAAACACACTCTTGACCAGATTTTTCGTTGAGGAGTTTTGTCGAGCAGCTGGTGTTCAAAACTTAAAAAAGCACAAAGAACAGAATCAATAAGTTTAGAAAAGAGTAAAAATCGTGAAATTCAGAAACAAATGATGGAATCAAACTGCTCTTACACTCTTTCCTGTCTTCCCTCACCTTCTGTCTCCCCTTGAACCAAATTAGTTGATGGCAGTTGGGTTCGATGACCATCAGTTGCAGCAACAACAATCAATTGCAATAACAGCGTGCATCTTGTATGCTTCATATAACCTGATGCAGTTGTCGACTGTAAAAAATAAGTGAAAGACCCTGAGATGAGCTTGCTAGTCCAGCTGAGTTCATCGGTTTGGTATTTAAGTAAGAGAAGGATGAGATCGATGTTGAATATGAACAATCGATTGGGTTATCCTACAAAAGTGAAAGAAGACGGATATGGGTGAGACGTAAAGACGTAAAACAGGAAGAGAACAAAATCAAACGAAAAATCACAACACCCAACAGAAAATAAGAATGTTCTCTCACTCCATGTTCATTGATAGTTCGATATTTATTAAGGTAAGAAACATTAGACATCCCAAACCATGGACCTGGAGCAACAAACATAGATACATGGCATACCTTCAGGTTTGCAAATCAATGAAAAAAATAAGCACAATAGGACATAATGATCTAACGTTTAAAGGAGAAAATAACACCTTTTCTTGTATAAGGATGTATGAAAAGCCTTGGGCTCAATAAGAAGTGTTCCTGAAGCAAAAGAGAAACAAAAATTAACATACATATAAATAACTATAGTTATTAACTATTTTTCTTTTTTATAGATTTTTAAAAATAAATTTTTTGTATTTATAATAATTACCAATGAATCCAATCTTGTTTTGCTTCAAAAACCCATGTCTGCCTATAATTATATCTATTTTTTAACTACTATTAAATAATTATTGTTTTTTTTTAATTTTTTTTATAAAATTTACCATATGGTCAAGCTTTCTCTCCATATCAGCACTGATAAGAGTTTGATACCCCCCCCCAACCCCCCCCCCCCCCCCCCACCCACGACCACCTTAACAATAGACCGTCCATTTGTTTGGAAGCAAGCAAAGAGAGTCGACTCAATAGCTATTTCATATAAAAGCACAAAGTTATTATAAAATGCAATATTAAAAGAAAGGTCATAAAATGGAATGTTAATCAATAATTGAGGATATGTTATGGGTACCTTACCATTTTGAGCTACCGCAGCCAAAATTAACAAATCAAAATCAATAAGAAATATATTTCGTACTCTCATCCTTAATGTATCAGCTGATATATTATACAACACTCTTCTTCTGTGATATGTGTGCAGGTTGAGATTTTTGTTAACATAGGAACAAACATTTTTTATTAATTGAGACACTAATTACATAAATTTGATACATACAATATATATATATATATATATATATTATCTATATATATATATATATATATATATATAGATATAACCTACAACCATCACAACCCTTCAAGATGACAATTAATTTTAACCGCTATAACTACCTTTAACCACCGTATAGTGACTTATATACCAACTAACTGATAACAAAATTTAACAGTCATAACCAAGTATATTAAATGTCAAGATTACCCTTCAACATTACAAAGAACAATCTCATTTTTAATTAACCAATAATTATTGGTGCTCTAGTCCAATCCAAAAGATAAGGGTGTTCTGGTACAGGAAGTCTAATTAACGCATTCTAAAAAGAAGCTAGTTTTCATATTACAATATAGAATGTTCTTTAATATTCCCATGACGATTATACAAAACGACAATCGTACATAGAAAGTCAGATATAAAATAAAAACTATAAGATTAATGAAACAAATGTTTAAAGTTTACCTCTTTTGTCCAAAGACAGGTTTCCATCCGCTAATGTTTTAGACATGTGTTGAAAAACCCCAAATTAAGCTTTCACACACTGAAAATAGAATCAATAGCGACTCTTTCACTGTTTTTCCCCAAATTGTGCCTACATATACGTTTTTATCAAGACTCCATTATATTTTGTGAGTTTGGTTATTCAAAAAATCAAATCAATCATTATATTGAATAAAAGTTAAAGTTTATAAATTCAACTAACCATTGCTGGTAAGCTTGTGGTTTGAGACCCAAAATTGTAAGCCTTCCATTTGACCTGCATCATACTTCTAATTTTTTGCTGCATAATAATTATATTAAACTAATAGAAACTTCAAAAAATATTTTCTTTAACATTCAAAGACTGGCTGGCAAAAGAAACCTTATGAGCTGGTTACAATCGTTGTGAATGCCTCAAAGGTATTTCATCGAACATGTGGTAAGCAAAGCTGATAAGAAGAGCAAATTCCAATCTCAGAAACAAAGTAGAGAAAGCAGACAGAGTTGGTAGAAAAAGAAAGTGTCGATTGAAGTCAAAATCAATTACCCAACTGAATCCATTGTACTCATCTGCTCCCTTCACAATTTCTTTTCCAAAACCCATGGCGTGTTTCTAGGTCTGTAATCATCAAAATTACAGAAATCATTTTACAACATTGTTTTATAAACTCCCATGTATATAGATTTTATGTTCCCAACAATTTCTTTTTGTTGGCAGGTCAACGAAAGGGATTCATATTGTGCATTTTTCTTTCTTAGCATGTCGAAATGAGTTAAAGTTACTTTTTTGTTTTCATATAAAATAATATTTCAGTAATTAAAGTGAACCTTTTCTAGAGCAATTGAAGTTGTAAGTCTAGAAGTAAGCATGGCAAAAACTTCAGGGTCTGGTCTTGGAACAGGAAGAATGTGTTTCTTACTTTCATTTATTTCTTTATTATAGTAACATACTTTTAATCCCTTCTATTATAGGATTGCACTTTAAAATCTACATATTAGACTGTTGCAGTTTAGATTGGTAACTCATCTAATAGCTGATTGAAAAATTTTGAAATTAATTTGAGTAAATACATAGAAAACAATTTAATAAGTCAATAAACTTACTTTTGCGGTCTCTTGAAGAGGTATGAGACTTTCTTCAACATGTTTGCTCTTTAAAGACACGTTATCAACTTCTTGTAGCAATTTTTTAAAAAGGCTCTCCCGGTTAAAAAGTGAAAAAGATATAAAATCGTTAAATTTATTTAAAGTAAATTTCTGAAACCAAGTAAGTTGAATCTGCCAGATGGAACGACAACATCACCACCTCCAAAATGGAAACCATTTGCAGCTGCGTTGCCAAGTTGCATGGCATGATCTTGTATTCTGCATAAGGGAAGAAAAAACAAAACAACCATTAATAAATTAATATTTGATGGTGCTTTTTTATTTACCCAATGATTAAGTAGGCTTGCATGGGATGGAGGGTGGTGTTTTTGGTTTAGATGTGTGTACATAAAGTCAAAGTGGGATGCTCTAATTGGTAGATTTTCAAAGTACAACGTCGTTCAAAAAAGTCAAAGTACGATGTCGGAATTGGTAAGTGGATGTATAGCAACACAACTTTCGTTATTATGTTTGTTATAACATCCTACTTTCTTTTATTTCTATTATGATATTATACTTTTATTTTTTATTTTTCTTATTAAAGTACTGTACTTTGAAATATCAACCTAATTATAGCAGTGTACTTCCACTTTGAAAAAAGCTACTCAATTTTAAAACGAATTTTGCTTTGTAATTAGATGAAATTGCTATAATATGATAGATTTTGCAAAGTAATCTCTAGAAATCTTGAATTTCACCAAAGAAACACCAGGGGCAAAATGGTGAAAAGTCGAACTGGATAGGAGAAAGCCATCTGTTCAATAAAAAATTACTATTTATGTTTGGGAATGACCATTTCACCCTTCTGTTTAGAGTAAATGACCGTTTTAATATTTTAAACTTATGTTTAAAAGTGATGTGAATAACATGTGTAATTATGTGTGAAATTGACAGTTTAACCCTTCTGAAAGTACCTTAATGCCCTGAAATGCAGCCCAATCCTTCAGTACATCTGGATCAACTGAGATGACAGCCACCAAAGAGAGTTCAAGCTATCACTTATCACAGAAAAATAGTGAACATGTTATATTTAGATTAATATGTTTCATAAAGCAAAGTGGTGTTCATTAATAGTGAACATGTTATACTCGCCACCATTTGCCATATGCAGTTCCATGTTTACCCAACACCCAACATATCACCTGTTTTTAAAATAAAATAAAATAAAAAAAGATAAAAACACCCAACATATCACATGTGCATAAAATCGTTCCCTAGAACCTTGAAATAAGAACCAACTTGGAGCTGCAATTCGACTTCAAATGGTGTAAACATGTTTTCTTCCATAACAGGTCCTGTGTAGAATAAAAGATTACAGATCTTATTTTGTTGCTCCTTTGTAGCTTAAACTAATAGCCAACTAATTTGGTAAATGTGACAATACTCATCAATTTTAATGGAAAAAGTAACCCATTAGACACTAAGTTGACTACAACCTCGTAAAATTACACAAACTTAAACGACATTCCAACATACCTACACCAAATCCTAAGTGACCGTACAATAGGGTATCTCAATGTCATGTTTAAATCGACGAACCAAAAAATTACTCAATTCCAGGCGTAACCCTAAACACAGAAACCAGATGAATAAATTAAAGATTGGGATAGATAGGTCTAGTATGAAATAAAAACTTCAGAATTGGATCGGATAAAAAAATGGAATCTGAAATTGATTGTTACTTAGATGCAGAAATCATCGAAAATACTAAACCCTCCCGAACTTGAAGTACAACAGAACGATTGTTTTTTAACCTGGGATTGTTTTCTTACGAAAAAGAAAAAATGAAAAATGAAATAGAATGAAAATCCTTGATGTATGGGTTCTTGGCACCAGTCGGTAGAAATGGATTTTTTTTCACCAAAAAGAAAAAAAATGGCAAATCCTTGTTGAAAGCTGAACAAAAAAAAAGAAAAAGAAAAAATGAAAACTGAAAAATGATTCCATTCCATCTTTGTGTCGAGCAATTCAAATGATATCAACTCTGGCACATAAGTATAAAGATCCAATCTACTATAATTGAACACTTTAAATCTTTATACCAATTCACTTGATAAATAACTTCTTAAAATGTACCTGGTTTTGACAAATACAATTACAATCTGTCCGAAAGAGCCATAAAATAGAATCAGACTCCGATTTTGACTTTTGACTAAAAGTCTATCCAGTTTCTTTAACCCAGAAGTGAACCTAATTCTTTGATCTTTGAACAACTATTAGCTTTAAATGTAGGGAATATCGAATAGAAAGAACTGACCCTTCACTTATTGTATCAGTTGTTGAAGCAAATTGAGGGGTATAAAGGGAAGTTTTCCAAGAAACAACCTAACACATGAGAACAAACTCATACATTTAATACCAAACAATCAAAGGGAAATCGATGTAAGTTGTTCTATATGTACATGTTTAGAGCTGGATGAGATTAATTTTTTTTTCCATCATCATAAAATAAACCCGTTAATCCATTGTTTGTGCATCTTAGAGGTGGATGTTGGTTGTTTCTCTTTTGACAGCTGTGTTCCTTGTTTCTCCTTTCTCTTTGACAGCTGCACAGATCGCCATGTCTGAAGAGATTCTGACGAACAGTATTCTTAATATAACAGGTATTTGCAATAAATCTATTAAAAGCATTTGTAATAAAACTATTAAAAATCTTGATAAATACCTGCAATTCCTTACAGAGAAATCTCATCCACAGCAAGGAACTGTAGCCCTGTGTAATCCCTTTGGGGATATAACGGTGGTGTTCTCGAATAGCAAAACTCACTGAAAAGCAAAATAAATATAAATCAAATGACATCTGAAGTGCGTTACTTAAAAATTAGTGGTCAGCAGATTTAGGGGGAATTAGTTATCCTTGTAGGTATGTCGGTCAATTTCTATTCCATAGAAAATTTATTAAATATAAGCGAATAAATGAAGCCACCTTAGAATGAAATCGATTTTAAAATCGTCGGCATCAGACCACCTTTTGATGAAATCGACATCAAAACACCTTCGATAGTCCGTTGTAAGTCGGGGTCTAATGGTTCTGGCCTGGGCTGCTGAGCCGCTTTGCTTGTCGCAGTCAGAGCCCCCATCCTTTCAGCATATAAGTTGACGGAAGTTTGGAGGCAAAACGGATGGAAAATGCTAAAAAAAATATCAAGTTGCAGCCTTCAGTTTTGTGGGATGCACGGTATGCACAATATTGCTCTGTAGAATGATTAGGAAGTAAATGAGCATTTTACCCTTATATTCAAAACTAAATTTAGTCGTGTAGATTAACTGATTAACCCATTAAAAAAGGTGGACTGTAGAGACATACTTTGGTTCTGTGTCGGTAACCGAAATTCCAAGAACGAATGAATTTGTACTTTTGGGTAACTTGTGTCAAAAGCTATAGCTATACTGCAATCTCCAATTGCATCAATGACTTCACCCAAATATTGGTTTGCAACAGCATGATTGCAGAAACAAACAGCTGCAAATGAGTGTGATTCTATACTCTTTGATATTGCAACACTATAATGATCTACTGCTTCTGTATGCTTACCATTCTGAAAGGCTTCATTTCCTACATTCTAATTAACCCAACTAAAAGAAATTAAATTCACACTGAGTGTTAAAACAAAAGACGAATGTTAGCTATCTATAATTCCATACCTTGCAGTGTAAAACCAATGTTTGAAGAGTGTTTGTTGGACATATTTTCCCTTAATGTTGAAGAGTATTTCCCATAGAGTGAAGTGTACCTCAGTACCTGGGATTCAAAAACAAAAACCAATATTTCATTCTTTGATTTGTTTGTTTGAACAAATCTCATAAACTAATAGATGATCAGTATTAGTTAGAGACGACATAAAAAATATGAGAAATCAGTAAAACTTTTAACAAACAGTTGGTGGGCAAATGTTTCAAATCTCATAAACCAATAGAAGAGTATTTGTTGGACAGAATAGCACCATTCTGCAACAACACATCTGCTGCTGCTGCTGCGACTGAACCACCAACAGCCGCCCAATGCAACGCCAGCTGCATCACACCGTCAACCGCCTGCACATCCCCACCATGCTACATCGCCAACAAAAGTAGCCCATATTTGAGAATGGATGTAACCGATGAAAGCATACCTCGATAATGTACTGAGCAACATCGGGGAAGTTATTGACGGACGCCCATTGAAGGGGGTAATAGCCATATGCATCAGGTTGAGAGAGAGAAACGACATCATCTTCGACGAATTTTCGCAGTTTCAGCAGATCGCCATAAGCAGGAGCGCTAAAGACGTGAAAGACTGATAAAATTTCGATCTCTGATGAAGGCATTTTTTTTGTATAGTTTGGGGTTTGATGATTTGGGAGTGCTAGAACACCTTTCTTGAGATGGGATTTGAAGGAGAATCACTCCTTTGTGGAGTGGTTGAAGATTGCAACTTGAAATTGGGTTTCTTGCAGAGAAACCCTCACAGAGGGTGGAAGGGTCGAGATGAAGAAGCGATGGGAGATAAAAGGAAGACTGTGGAAGGATCCGGAAGTAAAAGGCGTAAGTATGTGGTAACCGATGAACAGTATCCTGGTGAGGTACTGTTTAAGGTACTAAATTGAAAAAATAAACCTAAACAGAAATACGAAAACTACAGGGACTGAAATAGACAAAAAAGGAGCTATTTTACTATTGCTACCTTTCATAACTTTAATATATATATAATAATAATTTTTTCCCAATAAACAAAATATAAAAGTGTGAGATTATAAATGTAACTTCTAACAAAAACAGCATGTTATGAAGACTCCAAGGACTAAGGTTGCAATTTCATGAACTCAATCTTTCTACAAATATGTGACTTTGTTTTATTTGACTTTAAGTTAAGTTTAGCAAATCATTCAAAATGTAAGGGGCCTTTGTTTTATTTGACTTTAAGTTAAGTTTAGCAAATCATTCAAAATGTAAGGCCATCTATGTAAATAACATTTCAATTCAAAGCAAAAGAAGCGTTTGAAACTCGCTTTGAAGAAAAAACAAACACAGGAGTAAACACGCGCCTACTCATAGTTTGGTTTAAACTTTAAAAGCCCTAACTAATTTATTTGAAACATTGGTCAATCAAGTCGACCCACCATAACATCAGATCCGAATTCACCATCTTCTTTACCCGAAAATTAACTATTTTCAATCATTTTTTTAATACGATGAATCTTCTAAAATTAGGTTAAATGCCTAACTACAATTACCATCAATTATCTCCACTCCGTACCAACAATTATCCATAAACAAATTTCAAAATCATACTCCAAAATAGTGTGGATTAAAATCTATATAGAAAACCATTTCCTAAAATTCATTACCAAATTGCTACTGGTTGGAACGAATTAAGACAAGAGATTGAACCAAAATATATTTAACATGTATATGAATCCATCAAACCAACCATATTGTAACATCCATAAAATTTCACAAAAATTTAATACTTTTTAAAACATTTAAAACCATTAAGTTATTACAATTTGTTTTCAAAATAGTTTAAACATTAGATTATCCCCAGAATCAAATCAAGAAAATATAAGGAGGTGCACGATCACGCCTTCGCCTTCTCGCGGTTATCAGAAGTACCTGAAACATAATCAACAACTATAAGCCCGAAGCTTACTGAGTTCCCCCAAAATACCAACGCCATACAGATATAACCATATCATATAAAAAAACACAGCATACATAATGAGCCATCAGTTTGACTGGACCGCCTCACAGGCCATCAGTCTATCTGGACCGCTCTCCGAGCCGTCGGCACGTCTGGACCACCTCTCAGGGCCTTCAGCCTATCCGGACCGCTCGTCGGCCTTCGACCTAACTAGTATGCCCTAACCGGGTCTGCAGTCTATCCGGTCCGCCCTAGGTATCTTGGCCTACAATACAAAGAAGTACCTGCCTCAACCCAATCCCCCAAACCAACAATCATGTGCACATAAATATCATACGTTACCTAGCATGTACATATAATCATACAGATCTAACAGATCACTAACATAGCAACCATCCTATAACCAAGATACCGATCTAACCGATCACTAACATAGCCACCATCCTATAAGCAGGATACCGATCTAACAGATCACTAACATAGCAACCATCCTATAACCAGGATACAAATAATAAAGGGCCGGTCTTGGTGCCTTAGACCCTGTTGATATAGTGAGAAGAACTCACCTCATGATGTCGAACTGTAGTGATAAGATCAAACTCCCGAATCGCAGCCACGAACTCAACCACCTATAACCACCATAGGACCAAGTCCATCAGAATCCCAAATTACCAAAATAACCTCAAAAGTCCAACTGGTCAACCCTTGGTCAAAGTCAAAGTCAACGGTCAAAGTCAACAGTCCATGTTCACCCAACTCGTCGAGTGCAACTAGCAACTCGTCGAGTTCCTTAAGAACTCAGGAAATCATAAAACCCTAATTGACTCGCTGAGTTTCCACCCAACTCGTCGAGTCCATGCGTGTCCAAATGTTGGGAAAACCCTAACTGACTTGTCGAGTCTTCTTACTGACTCGCCCAATTCATGCAGAACCAATACATGCAATCTTCCACCGACTCGTCGAGTCGGCTATGCAACTCATCGAGTCCCTTTAGTCCATTTCTCATCCAGACGTTTTTAAGCTACCGCAAAGGTCCATATTGTAGATCTAACCTCCTAGGGCATTGTTTCCACATAAAGTTGCAAACTTTACGTACATGCATGGTCCTAAATGCCAAAACCAAACTAAGGGAAAGGTTTAACCCAAAGAGAAGGGCTAATGCTTGCTAAATCTGATAACTTTATGACTATAGGGACCAAGAGGAGTCCAGATCTAAGGTTACAACTTCAGATCATGCCCAATAACCGAATTGACTCAAAAATATGCTAGAAATGGCCCTAAACATTTGCATGAAGAGATCTAACTAAGGTGAGTCAAGGTAACAGCTTGTTACCTTTAAAATGATGCCAAGATGAAGTAGAGTCAGATCCACAAGCTTCCCTTTGCTCCAAGCTCCTTAGACTTCAAACCTTTTTCACAAAGTGCACCAAAATCACTCTTTGAATCTCACAAGCACTCAAGAACAAGGTCTAGACTGATTTGAGTTTCTTCAGGCCGTCAAGAGGTGGTAAGGGGCTGGAGGAAAGGACTTAAGGTCCCTTAAATAAGGTACAAACCCTAAAAATTAGGGTTTCATTTTCCATCTCCTACTCGTTGAGTCGGTGTCCTTCGAGTCGTCGAGTAGACCTCATAAATACGCGGCCTGATCCACTTCTACACGACGAGTCGGGGCAACCAACTCGTCGAGTAGGTCCAAGAATATGACTTTATGCTTTTAGATTTTATACCTGGGAGTCAGGGTGTTACAATTCTCCCCCACTTGAACTAGACTTCGTCCTTGAAGTCTGCTGCGGTAAATAACTCGGGGTAATGCTCCTGCATCTCTGCCTCCGGCTCCCAAGTACACTCGGATCCCCTCCGGTGCTGCCACTGTACCTTTACCAAAGGTACTTCCTTGCTCTGTAGAACCTTTACCTTCCTCTCAAGAACAGCCACTGCCTCTCCATTTAATTCAGGCGCTCGTCAACCTGAATATCATCTAATGATAGTATCGCCTCCTCATCTAGAATCCACTTCCACAACTGTGAAACATGGAAAGTGTTGTGGATCTAACTAAGCTACTCAGGGAGATCTATCCTATACGCCACCTTGCCAACCCTGGCAGTGATCCTGAATGGCCCGATGTATCGGGGACCTAACTTCCCCCTCTTCCTGAAGCGAATCACACCCTTCCAGGGTGAGACCTTCAGGAGTACCATGTCACCGACCTGAAATTCCAACTCAGATCGGTGTCGGTCGGCGTAACTCTTCTGCCGACTCTGTGCGGTCTGCAACCGCTGTCTGATCTGCTGAATCATTTTGGTAGTCTGCATGACTACCTCGATCCGAACCATCACCCTGTGACCAACCTTGCCCCAACAGACTGGGGTGCGTCATCTCCGTCCATACAACAACTCATAAGGTGGAGCACCAATGCTGGAGTAAAAGCTATTGTTATAAGAGAACTCTGCAAGGGGTAGGTAGGAGTCCCCGCTCCCACCGAAGTCAATAATACAGGCTCTCAGCAAATCCTCGAGAGTCTGTATGGTCCGCTAACTCTGGCCGTCTGTCTACGGATGATAGGCTGTATTGAAATGCATCCGCGTGCCCAGCACCTCGTGGAACTTATACAAGAAACGGGAGGTAAATCGAACATCACAGTCGGAAACGATAGACACTAGGACCCCATGGCGAGCGACAATCTCGCGTATATACACATCGGCCAGCTTCTCGTCCGACGAGCTCTCCCGAATGGGCAGAAAATGGGCGCTCTTGGTCAATCGATCCCTGATGACCCATATAGTGTGGAACCCCTTTGCCGTTCTCGGCAATTTTGGTGATGAAGTCCATCGTGATCTACTCCCATTTCCACATAGGAATCTCTAGGGGCTGCAGCTTTCTATGCGGCCTCTGGTGTTCGGCCTTGACCATCCTGCAGTTCAAGCACCTCTCAACGTACCAAGCGATCTCTTGCTTCATGCACGGCCACCAGTAACTCAATCGCAAATACCGATACATCTTGGTGGCCCCCGGATGAATAGAGAAGCGAGACTTATGAGCCTCCTCCAATATCATCTATCTGACCCCACCAAACATCGGAACCCAGACCCGACCGCAACGGGTCAATAATCCCTGACTATCCTGCATAAACCGGGTGTTCTCATCCCTAATCCTCTCAAGTTTCCAATTCTCATGTCGTATACCCTCAACCTGAGCTTCCCTGATCAAGCTCACAAGTGGAGAATCCATTAATGTCCTCATACATGTCATTTTAGCAGAAGATCCAGCTGACTTGCGGCTCAGAGCGTCTGCAACCACTTTCGCTTTACCAGGATGGTAAAGCATCTCGCAGTCATAATCCTTGACCACATCAAGCCACCTACGTTGCCTCATATTCAGGTTCAGCTGATCCATGATGTACCTCAGACTCTTGTGGTCCGTGTATATGGTACAACGGACCCCATAGAGGTACTGACTCCAAATCTTGAGAGCGAATACCACCGCTCCCAACTCTAGATCATAAGTAGGATATCTCGTCTCATGCGGCTTCAACTGCCGCGATGTGTAGGCTATCACCCGTCCTCTCTGCATGAGGACTACTCCCAGTCCTTTGATGGATGCATCACAGAATACCACAAAATCCTCAACTCCTTCCGGGAGAGTCAAGACTGGAGCCTCGCATAGTCGCTGTCTGAGGGTCTCAAACGCCATCTGTTGCTCGGGGCCCTACCGGAAATCCACCCCCTTCCTCGTCAGACGAGTGAGGAGTACTGTAATATTGGAGAAATCTTGTATGAATCTCCAGTACTACCCTGTCAATCCCAAGAAGCTCTTGATATCTAAGGGAGATTTCAGAACCTCCCACTGCATAACTGCCTTGATTTTGGCTGCATCGACCAAAATCCCCTCCTAGTTAACGAGATGTCCAAGGAACTGAACATCTCGTA